TTTTTTTTTTATAAACACTTTATCTCCAAAAAGATTTTATTCGGTTGGTTTAATGTAAAATACTAATTTAACCCTTTAAGAAACATTTTAATCTACTTTCCTTTAGAACATCAGCTGTGTTCCCAAATGTTTTAAGGAGGTCAGAAGTGCCCTTCATAAAATCAATCTGGCAACAGAGAGATCAAATGGAAGATCCAGAACATTTATTAATCTGACGCAGCAGATATAAAGCCTTTACGCAGAATGCAGTTTCATTGAAGCGGCTAAAACTGAGCACAATGGAATAATATAAATGTCGGCTGAATAGTACGGTTTTGTATTTTTTACATTCAAATCAAAAATGTGTATTTGATTTTCTTTGATTATCAGATATGAATCATATTCAAAGATATTTCATGTCTATGTGAATAATTTCATTTCATGTATAATTACATTTATTACTATATTTATAATAAAATATAAAAATCATTTTAAAAAGAAGTTTTCACTAAAGTGTAGAACATTTAATTCAATAATTAATTCACTTTTCAGAAGTAATATTTTGAGGGTGATAAGAGATCCTCTATGAGCAATTCAGTATCAACGGCTCCGTAACTTCACAATCACACACCAGCTTAATGCAAAATCTCAAACATCTCACGTCCACTTTGAAGTTTCGTGTTTTTTTATGTTTTTGACACCAACAGCAGAGACAAACAGATTTTGTGGCTCATGACAGAGAGACTGTGAGCCGCGAGCGGGTCGGCTGTCTCACCCTGGTTGCGCGGGGCAGGAGGGCTGTCCATGCAGCCTGGCAGATAAGGCCCGCTGGAGAACATCCTGCTCTGGCTGGACGGAGAATCAGCAAACGGCCCATGCATCCCTGTGAGCTGCCCCGAGAAGTGCACGGTGAAGGCCCCCAAACCGCAGTGCGGATCCTCGTGAGCATCTGCGGGCCCCCAGCCCGGCTCCTGTTTGACAAAGGAGTGGGAGGGAAGAGATCCGTACGGGGAGGTAGGGTGATAGTCCAGCATCGGTCCCCACTGCGGAGCTCCACCGACAGGCATGGAACAGTTTGCGTTCGGGACCACTGGAAGCAGGGCGCTCAGGTCTCTGACGTCCGATCCCATCAGGCCACACGGCTCTGTCAGCATTTAGGAGGATTTTATTTGTTGCAACACCCTTGAATATCTGCAGACTAGATTTCAAGAAGAAGGTGTCCGGTCCAGCAGAATGCGCGTTTATCTGCTTCTGAGATGGGAAGCACTGGTGAGGTGTTTGGAGCAATGCATTGGAGAGTTTGAGCAGGAGTAACTCCACTCTTGTACATTTGTCTGGGTCTATCAGCTCTAAAAACCACCCCACCATCTCCAGAGGAGGAGTCAGAGCTCGGGGTTGTGAAAAAAAAAACTTACTCATCTTTTACTTGAACAGCACTTGCAGTCCTCTTCTGACTAATGCCTGGACGTGTGTGTATGAATATGGGTGTGTGTGTGTGTGGGGTCCAGCAGAATGCGCGTTTATCTGCTTCTGAGATGGGAAGCACTGGTGAGGTGTTTGGAGCAATGCATTGGAGAGTTTGAGCAGGAGTAACTCCACTCTTGTACATTTGTCTGGGTCTATCAGCTCTAAAAACCACCCCACCATCTCCAGAGGAGGAGTCAGAGCTTGGGGTTGTGAAAAAAAAAACTTACTCATCTTTTACTTGAACAGCACTTGCAGTCCTCTTCTGACTAATGCCTGGACGTGTGTGTATGAATATGGGTGTGTGTGTGGGTGTGTGTGGGTGTGTGTGTGTGGGTGTTTGTTTGTTTAGTTAGCATGAAATCTAATTGTGTAAATGATGTTCCTCAGATAACTTGTTTTGTTAAATTACTGTAAATATACACTTATTATATTTCACTCAATGTTTATTAAAGTTTTAAAGTTACACTTTTATAAATAAAGGTTCTTTATTAGCATTGATGGTTCCATGAAGAACCTTTAACATCCATGGAAACTTTCCATTGCACAAAATGGTCTTTATAGTGGAAAAAAACAAAATGGAACTGTTCACTGAATGGTTCTTTGAGGAGCCTAAAATGGTTTTTCTGCAGCATAGCTGCAAAAACTCTCTTTATGAAGCTTAATTTTTAAGAGCGTATAATAAGCCCACTCATTTCACCATTTGCTTTTCCCTTGGATCTCAAATATAAGTGCATTATATGTTTAGAGTGTACTGAAATGAATGCAGATAAGGGTCTCCAACCGAAGTGTTGACACTGTGTTCTCTGTGAGGAAGTATAAATGAGTGCTATCTTAGTGATTTGTGTTGTCAGAGTGAAGATTCAATTAAGCTGATGGATGTGCACTGGGATTGGGCAACACTGTTGTGAAATACCAGCACCGTCTGTTGCCTGTTTGAAAAAACAAAGAGATTGCTGTTTTAAATACCAGGATAAAAAAAAAAACGTAAAAAAAAGTAAAAACTTGATGCTTCCTCTAACATGACATTTGAACATTTAACTAATTTATGTATTTACATATACACACTAGTCTTAAACAATTGTAATGTTTTTGAAAAAAATATCTTCTGCTCACAAAGGCTGCATTTATTTGATCAAAAATACAGCAGAAAACTGTAAAATTGTTAAATATTATTACAGTTTAAATTAACTGTTTTCTATTTGAATATATTTTAAAATGTAATTTATTTCTGTGATGCAGAGCTGAATTTTCAGCATCATTACAATAGACTGTATAAAAACAGATCATTACTCCAGTCTTCAGTGTCACATGATCCTTCAGAAATCTTTCTAATATGCTGATTTGCTGCTTAAGAAACATTTCTGATTACTATCAATGTTGAAAACAGTTTTGCTGTTTTATACTAAACCGTGATTTATTTTTTTCAGGATTCTTTGATGAATGAAGTTTAACAGAACATCATTTATTTGAAATAGAAATCGTTTGTTACATTATAAATGTCTTATTTATGTATCACTTTTAATCAATTTAATGCACACTTATTAAATAAAAGTGTTCATTTCGTTAAAATATATATCTCTTTGACTCCAAACTTTTAATCTGCAGTGTAGCCTAGCATATACATATAGTTCTGTCAGGACCACTATCGTCAAAGATGATTGACAATTAGCATACAGTTTGGATTGGCGGTATGGTTCCGTTCTAGACAAGAATTCCCTGCGCATCCATGCAGCCTAGCATGGACGAGAGCAGCGATAACAGAACAGAACCAACATAAATGTATTGCAGATATCGTTAAAGTTCGATAATGTTATGTACACATTTTAGAATTAGTCTGATTCAATCAGAAGGCTGAATCCTGACTGACAGAGGAGGAGCTGGGGATGGAGGAGGGTAATTAGCTATTGAGCAATGCGAAAACTGCTGATACTACTGCGGGACCTTATATATGAATACTTAGGTGTCGTATTCCCATAGGTTGATGGGGATCAGCTGAGAGTCAGCTGATGCGAGCTTGACTAACGTGACCTGCCAGAACTAACGCTGCGCTTGATTTATCTGCCTGTTGTGAAGTTAGCTAAATTGCTTGCTCTCGATTTAGGCTTTCTCAGTTAAAGTATGTTTTTTACCTTGAAATATCAGTTTCAAGTCATTCTGGTGGTACACTGATTTCTAATAAGGCGCATGACTGTTGTTTCTTATGGAAGCCCGTTTCCACCACTGAATAAAAAATTTGAAAAAGTTAATTGCGACTTTTTATCTCACAATTCTAATTTCTTTTTACAGAATTGTGAGATATAAACTTGCAATTGCGAGTTATAAAGTCACAATTGCGAGATATAAAGTCACAATTGCGAGATAAAAACTCACAATTCTAACTTTTTTTCTCGCAATTGCGAGTTTATATCTCACAATTCTGACTTTTTATCTCACAATTCTGACTTTTTTTCACAGAATTGTGAGATATAAACTTGCAATTGCGAGTTATACAGTCACAATTGCGAGTTATAAAGTCAGAATTGCGAGATATAAACTCGAGTTAAAGTTTGTATCACGCAATTCTGAGAAAAAAAAGTCAGAATTGTGAGATAAAAAGTCGCAATTACCTCTTTTATTTTTTATTCAGTGGCGGAAACGGGCTTCCATAGTTTCTTTCCCTTGCTTCCCTTGTTCCAACAGTATGGAAATTCCGTGAAAAGGACGGATTGCTTTACCGCAGCAACAAATGCACGTGAACAGCGATCCACTGGAATTAAGATTCCACTCAACTTAACTGTAGGGGGCTTCAAAGTCGCAAAAATATACATACAGTTGCTTTAAAGCCACTATTAAACCAAAACTGACTAATTTATTTATCCTTGCACTTTTTTTAATTCATGTGCCCTTGTAATCTTTAATCAAAATTACCTCCCCTCCCTCTTGCAAAGACATGATGTCCTGTTCACCGGCATGAGGGTCTACGTTTTTTCTTCTTCAATAAGCCATTTCACTGGGATAGCCTATATCACAATAGCGAAGAAAAGAATCTCAACTTCCGTTTCACGCTGACTTTAACATAACCACCAACACCTCCTGGCACCAATTACTCAGGATATGTCTCCATTTGGCTTAGGTTCAGTCCCAATGAAGAGTCACACACAGTGATGATGATGATGATGATGGGCTTTTGAAGAAGGTTCAGTCCAGTATCCGCCTGAGCCGTCACCCTTTCTTTACCTCTTCACCCGTGGACATCTGGAGTGCTGGTCTGAAAATCTAAATAACGGTTTTGACCTCTGCTTGCTGAGAACTGGAGGTGTATGAGTGAGACAGAGTCCAACAGAGCCGATTCCTCAATCCATGCATCATCTGCTTTATAACAGCCAAATATATTGGGGGAATTCCTTCATGGAGACATGAAGACCAGAAACTAGATTTCACTTTGCATTTGTATACAAATCATTCAGCAACAACCTTTTTAAAGTTACACTGTGATGGACTGGCCACATGCACATCCATGGTGTTGAACTGAAGGTGAAATTATTATTTTTTTCATAACTGATGAACTTTGCAACATTGAGTCACTGAACTGTACTAAATTAAACTAAATTAAGCTGATTAATGATACTATTTCCTTAGAGCTGCTTTGTAGCTAAATTGAATTTGAACTGAGTTTAATAATTGATGAACTTTGAAACAATGACAGTCAATGAACTAAATTGAATCAAAGTCATTTCATAATCTTTGAAATTTGCAACCCTGTTATTATCTCGTTTATTACTGTGAAGCTGCTTTGAAACAATCTGAATTGTATAAAGAGCTATATAAATAAATGTGACTTAATTGAATCACAAAGCACCTAGAGGCTTACGACTAACTTTAGTTTGTCAGGGAATAAATATGGCACTTATAAATCCGCTTAATAATATAACATTATTAATACAATTAGTAGTTTTTATTTGTTTTATAATAGCAATCAAAGATGTGCTATAATGTGAAAAACGTGCCAGCAAAAGTGAAACTGTGACAATATTTACCATATAATACGTCCTCCCTTATCTTATTGCTTCATTACACTTGGTGGAGCTCTTGGGAATAATAGTGATGTAATAGTTGACAGCAGAGGCCAGTGAAAGGTAAAAGGTCTCAAAGAGGTCAATTGAATGAATAACAATATCACAACTCCCTGTTCACTTACAGTAAAGTAGAATAGATGACATTCACTTCATTCAAGACGTCCAGGAAAATGGCCATTTCTATTCGCTTAACGCTCCTTAAGATGAATTCCTTGTTGTATTCCTCATTTGTAAGTTGCTTTGGAAAAAAGTGTCTGCTAAATCAATAAATGTATACGTTCTAAGTGTTAATCAAGTGGCAAAAGCCAAAGTATTTGAAAAGAAAGAACTGACACTGTTATTGAACTGAAATTAATCAACATTGAACTGACTTGAGCCGAATAATGACTCTATTGCCTTCTGTAGAGCTGCTTAGTTGAATTGAACCAGTTTCGAAACTGATGAACTTTGCAACATTGACACTGTTTATTGAACTAAATTGAAACAACACTTAACTAATTGAGCAAAAAGTATATAGAGAGCTGCTTGACAGCTGAAATTGAATTTGTTTTAAAATCTATTAATTTTACAAGGTTAACACTGTTATTTTCCTGTTTATTAATGTGAAGCTGCTTTGAAACTCAAAGCTCAATTGAACTAAATGTGGCTAGACTTTAATAAAATGTGACACTTTCACATCTAAAGGAAATTCACAGAGAGTGAGAGATCAATTTTTTTTTATAAAAACCGTAAACATGGGACAAAGAAATTCAGTTTCACACAAACCCTTGGACATATGCCTGTGCATGAAAA